CTACCAACAAAGAATAATTTCAAAAATTTTTCATAAATGTGAAGAAATTTGCTAATAAAAAATGTTGGACTAGGTTTTTATTAAAATATTTAAATTTTAAATGTTTTGTAATCATTTTCGTAAATTTAATCTGGGATTTTTTGAACCCAACTTGACAACACCGCTTATATTCGCGCTCATTTAGAATGTAGCCCGGCAATCGATTATTTCAATGTGAACATACTGAACAGCAGGGAATATAATATGTTTACGTTTTGAATACGCACCTAATAAATTTAGCTATTAATAATTCATCAGGCCATAAACATTTCTTTATTTATTGTAAGACAACTTTCCAATATTCATAATTTATAATATAGTGTTATAAGTGTTTTACTATAAATACACCAAAAACATTAAAATTTTACACCGCGTGCTCACCGTTTTTCTAAATTTTATAAAAAGGTAATCTGTGTTGCCTACGTTTGAGTATAAATAACAAATAGTTATACAGCGTGAGTCTTTTAACTTCAAACTGTTAAAAACATTTTTGGTATTTGTAAAAGATGGCGCTGTTATAAAAAAAACAATTTTCGATTTCTTCCCTGCATTCTGCAATATTGATCTATCACTTTTATATTTTTATTAAAAATTATTTAATTTTTAATAAAAATATAAAAGTAATAATCACTTTTTCATTGGAAATAATTATCTTATTAAATTAAATCTGATTTTTTTTGATAAAGTACCATTTTTGTACCAATATCCAAGTTTTCGAATTAGTGAATCAAATATTTTTAATTTATTTTAATTTTCAATTTTTGTAATTTAAAATTAAAGATTGTCATGTAATCGTTAAGCCTTAAAATTAGTTGCCTCATATTTGAATCACAGTGTACAAACATATACCGGTGAATATATTGAGATGTGCCCCAAGTGAAAATGATTATTTTTTTTTTTGGTTGTTTCACTGTTAGTCTAGAATGGGTTTTTTGGGAAGCCACCAGGTCTAGTAATAACATAACATAAGTGGTTCTGCACTAATGAAATAATTTTAAGAAATCATACATTTTGAATATTAGAGCTTCACGGAAAATAGCTTTACGGAGGTTAGGATTTCGTATGTTTTTTTTAAACATCCCTTTGTATATTTGAAATAAGATATTGTATCTTTTGACACCTTAATATTTTATGGTTTTTAAATAGCAAATTAATGAACTTTTGAATTATAAAACAGCAACACTCTCATCTGCATATAAATTCTAACTGACCTTCAGGAATCACATGCATACATATGTACTATTGCGGCCGAAAAAAAGTAATCGACAAATTTTATCGTTGTAACTGTGGTTTTTAGCAGTGGCTTTTCATAAATAATTATTATAATAAATATTGACAGTTATTGTCAAATCTATTAAGACTTTACTTAAGTTAAGTAATAAATCATTGTTATGCCTTATCACACATTAAGTGAAGCCGAAAAAGGCTATATTATAGCGAAACTTGGAGAAGAATGGTCCCAACAACGCATAGCTGATGAAATCAATTGCAGCAAAAGCGCGATTCAAAAATTAAATAAAAAGTGGATGGAAACTGGTGAACTGGGAAGGGTAATGGGTTCTGGACGTCCAAGAAAAACCACTCTAATAAATGATAATGAGTTAGTTAATTATGTGAGGCAAAATCCATTCTCCAACTCGATCCAGGCAAAAGAGGAAACTAACTTTCCAGCATCCGTCAGGACGGCTAGGAAACGGCTTCGAGAACAAGGCCTCTACACAGCGCCGGATTTAGGGGGGGTCTTTGGGGGTCTATAGACCCGGGGCGCAAGCTTACAGGGGGCGCAAAATTTTTGACTGGTAATTTTTGTTTTTTACTACAACCTAAAGGGTTTTCCCCTTTTTTTATTTTTCGTGTATTAATCAGTTTTAATTAAAAAATTATTTAAATTATAACCGTGATTGTTGCCATAGTATTATTATCTATGCATAGTATACGAAATATGTCATGTCACGTATTACGTATGGCGCCCGACAAGTTGTTGGGCGACAAGAACTTTAGTTTGCAGAAATTGATTATTTCCACCGATGATATGCATATGGGCGTAAATGTTTTTTAATATAAGAATATTTTATTACACTACGAACAACTATTAATTTAAATTAGTTTAAAACTATAGTTATATACAGTACCAGTCATATACATATGTATGTATATATACAGTATAGGTATTAGCCTATTGAAAGATGACGTCAATATTGCGATAAACAAATTTGCTTCTCTAAAAGCACGTAAAGTTGAGTTGGCAAAATGTTAATTTTCTTATTTAGGTATTTGTTTTTTATATAGTTTTTGTTTATGTTTTTAGGGAGGCAATATTTTTTCTACATTTTTTTTTATTTCGGAGCTCACATGAAACAATTTAAGTTTAAAGTATTCAAGTTTCAACTCAAAAAAAAATAAACGTCGCTCAAAAAAATCAACTAAATTGGAAAAATAGTAGTGGTTACAAGATCAAAATCATTAAAAAAACGATGTGGCTCCCGTCCCGAGGCGGGACTTAAGTTCAGTCCCGATTGACGTCACACACTGTAAATCCGTTTTTATTCCCCGAGATTTTATAATTTGTGTCAAGCTCGATGGCTTAGATAGTAGGGCGGTCGCTTGGCATGCGAGAGGTACCGGGTTCGATTCCACTGACAACTCAAACTTTTTTTATTTTTTTTATTTTATAAATTTGTTGTTTCTTTGTTAAAAAGTGTTTTATTTTTATCGTAACATAAATTTGCCCATTTTAGTTGGGTTTTTTGCTCAATGGGGCGGGGGGGGGCCCAATGGGGCGGGGTCGGTTGGGTTGTGTTGTTGAGTTTGGGTTGGTTTGGTTTTATGACGTAACTAAAGTGCCCTTAACATGTATACAGGTACAATTTATTATTATTATTATTTTATTATAACATAACAAATCTTAAAATTATGACGTCAATCGGGACTGAACTTAAGTCCCGCCTCGGGACGGGAGCCACAGCGTTAAAAAAATGTATTTCAAAAATATTGAGCGACCAATAATATTTTGACTTAAAAATGTATTATGTTCCTATACGACCTACAAAAAAAATAGTGAGAAGCCAAAGATTTTGAGAAAAAAGGTTGGTTTAAAAAAGTTTTGAGCGACGTCTAAAATTTTTTTATCTGTTGAAACTCAAATACTTTAGACTTATTTGATCTCCAAAATCAAAAAAATTTCGAAAAAATACTACAACCCTAATGTGTATGGTTAAATAAAATCCTTTTGTTAAGAAGTGACATTTTTTTGAATTTATTATATAGGTAGGGGCGGAAAATTTTTATTAGACCCGGGGCGCAAATTTTTATAATCCGGCGCTGCCTCTACAACTGTGTAAGTGCTAAGAAACCTTTCCTAAATAATATTAACAAAGAGGCAAGAGTGGACTTTGCTAATAATTTCCTCAATCAAAATGAACAATATTGGGAGCGAGTCGTCTTTTCAGACGAAAAGATATTCCAATCGTGTTACAATGGGCAACTGCGTGTTTATCGCCCCAGAAACCACAAGTTTGATGAAGAATACCTCCACAAAACTAACAACAGCGGAAGGTTTTCTGTTCATGTTTGGGCGTGGATATCTTCATCAGGGGCTGGTAGAATGCACATTGTAGAAGGCCGATTATCGGGTGATCGATATAGGGAAATTTTAGAAAATATTATGCTTCCATCGGTGCGAGAACGATTTGATGATGATTTTGTGTTTCAACACGTAAAACCTTTTAATTAACCTTTCCTAATTATATACCTATAAATTCACCAATTCATACTGCTCGTGTGGTTCAAAATTGGCTGAATGAAAATAATATAACAACGCTTCCTTGGCCGTCGAGGAGCCCAGACTTAAATCCGATTGAAAATATCTGGTGAAAAAAATTTATAAATATGAATTCAGACCAAGGGATAGACCGGCGCTTATTAATGCAATTCAAAATGAATGGAATAACTTAGAAAATTATAATATGCAAAATTTGATTGGATATAAAATAATACATTTATTGTTTTTGTTACTTAAAAACTGTTCTTTGATTAGTGGCTTGAATAAAGTTTTTTTTTTAATTTTAGTTTTTAATTAAAAAAATAAATGTTTCAAAAAGAAACACCAATGACTTTTTTTTTAATTTTAGTTTTTAATTAAAAAAATAAATGTTTAAAAAAGAAACACCAATGACTTTTTGTCAATATAATTTAATTGACATATTTGAAGTAAAAAGATATATTTACAACAGCAAAATTTTTTAAAAAACATGCTTGATAAAAATCGATTACTTTTTATCGGCCGCAATAGTACATATGTAGATTCTATAATGTAAACAGAGGTTTTTGCTTATTTAAAATGATTAAAGCGCCATCCGTTGCATAAAATTTAAAGCAAAAACACAACAGTTTCACGGAGGATAGAATCAATTTTTGTAACACCTACATAAATGGTTATAAAAATTATTTCTTTTAATTTTTAATAATATTTTATATTTGATTCGATTGTTTTGGATGTGATTAATTTACTTAATGAACTGATATTTTTAGTTTGTTTGTTTGTTTGTTTGGATGTGATTAATTTACTTAGTGAACTGATATTTTTAGTTCGTTTTTACTATCTCAGATATTTGAAATGTATAGGTTAACCTAGAAAGAGTAACAGTCACGGAGGATAGGTTTTAGACTTTTAAAACATTGTAAAAAATAATTAATTGCGGTTAAAAATCTGGAACCTGAGCTGTAATATCTACTTAATTTTGAAAGATCAAAACACAATAAAAGTGTAGGTCAAACTCATTTGGTTTTATTAAATATCACGGGGTAACACCATCGGGGGACATTTCGTGAGATTCACCCATACATACAATTATAACCCATTAACAAAATTATTTTTTATAATATTCATTTTGCGTTCAGTTAAATGTGCTGTTTGAGGTTAAGGATCGACGAGCCGTTTTAAAAATCCAATTTTTTTGCAGAAGGCGAACGAGGGTCCGTACAAATGCTGCCAATACTCCGCGGAAAAATTTAAATTTGGAGAGCAGCATTCACAGTTCTTTGAGTGACGTCAGCTCACCCGCACAGCAACTGTCAAAGAAAAATAGCGGTAAGTACATTATTTTAAATTAAGTTAATAGGTGTGATAAGAGATATGGCAACACTGCATGTATATTTTTTATATACAGTTAAAATATGTTTAAGATGAAAATTGACCTCCAAATTAGGGGAAAAACCTTAAATTTGGCAACACTTATAATTTGGTTACAAAATGTAAGAATGTTAATTAGCTTTATTTGTTTTTGTATGTAAATGCGCTTTCTCTGTTTTTTTATGGCAACCGCGCTTCAGTTTTTCCAATTAACTAGACTACATACATTTTTACATATCTTCTGCATTAGAAAAACATCTGGCACCTTCAATTTCTAATTAACAAAAAATATAAATCATTAAAAAAAGTTTGTATTTGGCTGTCGGTTTACGTTTTAGAAATTAAAATGTTTACAGCACCCGAATCGGAAGAGTTAAATTGAAATACCTTTTCAAACAAATTTAGAAATTTAATGATTTTGAGCCGCTCAAACAAAGACTTTATTTTTGTATCCAGTTGCAAAGGAAATTGTTTCGCTAGTTTTAGTTTGGACATAAGTGTAAAGTCAGTAGTACTTTTTCTACGAAAAATACTTGATATTATCTAAAAAATTATTTAAATTAAATATTTGTATAAAGCGACATCTATAGTGTGACCCATTTGTTTGCGAATCACCCCTGTAAAATCTTTATTTATTGTGCGATTTTAACCGGATTTGTTTTAAAGTATAGATCCTGATAAACTGTATTTTTGGAGTAAAAAACGCCATATTTGTACAAAATACAAGGCCTACTATGTCAGTTTTTAAGAGTAAATTTATAAGAATTTATATTAGCGATTTTTAAACAAAATCTAAGCACGGCACTGGATTCACCACCCCTATTGAAAAATTTTAAGTAGAAAAATGCACAATAATAACTACAAAAATTTATTCTGTCAAGTTATCCCTAAAAAACATTGAAATAAAAATAACTCATAGTAACATGCTACTATTACTATAAGTTTAATTTTATTTCAATGTTTTTTTCAAGGATAACTTGACAGAATAAATTTTTGTAGTTATTATTGTGCATTTTTCTACTAAACATTTTTAATAAAATTTAGTCGTTTTGAGGGGTGGTAAATCCAGTGCCATGCTTGTATTTTGTTTAAAAAAATCGCTAATATGAATTCTTAAAAATTTTCTCTTAAAAACTGACATAGTAGGCCTCGTGTTTTCTAAAAATATGGCGTTTTTGCTCTTAAAATATAGTTTATCAAAATCCGGTTAAAATCGCACAATAAATAAATATTTTACAGGGGTGAGTCGCAAACAAATGGGTACGAAAATAAAGTAACCATCCCAATAAACATTTTTCATAATAATTAACATTATTGATACTTCAAAATATTAAAATAACTTAAAATATGATTATGTTAAGAAAATATTTTATCCTTGGATTTTTTTATTACTATAATTGCCATATTACCATAAAGTATTAAAAATTTACACACGGTAAATGTATTTGTTGAAATTTCCGTTAGAATTAGAATCTGCCGTTATAATCTCAAACTTATCTGTTTGAATCAAAATTTTTCCCTTGAAAATATATTAAAAATCGATATAGAAGCATTTTTTACAGTAAAAGAGACTCTACACATTAAAAAATGATTGCAGTAGGCTGTATATACGTAATTTGGAAACACCCTGTATTAGCAAGTCTGAAAGTAGATTTCATTATTTCCTTTAAAATGTATAATATAAAAATTAAACAGCACTTAAATTCCATATACGGTTTTAAATCGTTATTTTACTACCTGCACAAAATAATGTTGGATATAAAACCCAACTAGTATAAAAATAAAATAATTACGTTATATAAATACAAACATGGCGTAAAAGCCATTTGAAAGATAAAAAACTCGTTATTCTATTAAAATTTTAAAAGCAAGTGGTCTAATGTAAATTATAAAAACCACTCACCAAACAGAAACGCGTAATGACACTTTAAAAAATGTATTTGACTTAGTTCCATAAACGATCTCAATTAGGAGCTATTTGTTTTCCACTATTATAGTGCTGGAATTAGATTTTATTCAATTAATTATGTCAATTAAAAAAGAAACTCGGCAATTAGCCGAACCATAAACACGGTCTCTTGATTGATAACGATGCAGAAAATCGCATGAAAAAATATTTTCTTTTTTTAATGGCTGCTATATATAAATAATAGATATTTCATTGCAACTCGAATCTTATAAATTAATGGCATCGGAAAAAGTTGATTAAAATTAATTGGTCAATTAATAACAGTAGTAGTTTCATTTTGCTTTTTAACACTTAAATCCATAAAGACATTGTATATTACTAGTTTATTTACCTATTGTGCATGCTAAAATAACAGTTAGGTACCAATATATATAACATTTCGGTACAATCTTATGTACCATCTTCAGGTCTTATCTGCTGGGCTGCTATTGCTTGACATTTTACAATTAGTCTTTGGATAGGATTTAAAATATTTTTTTTATTTGTCACTTTGCTCCAAAACGAAAAATAAAGGTAGTTTTCTCTCAATAGTATTTCATGTTTTCTTGTTTTTCGACCCCCCTGTATAATATTTTCAAATTTAAAGTATGGCCATAGACCTTTTAAAACAAGCAAAACTTTTTATGAAGAATGACTTTTAGTCGAAAAATGAAAATTTTAGTCCATTTATCCTGTTGGGCCCCTCTATTCGTGGACATACTGTATATAAATAAAAATATTTTAGTTAATTCATATTTTAAATATTACTATTCCCACTAAATTGTCATGGAATATTCCGTTAATATATATAGTGTTTTAAAATTACATAGGAATTAAAATTTCTTATAAATGCACCCAATATTCAATAATTACTATAATCCCAGCTTAAACTACTTTTCACATCATTTTCCACGCAATTACACTGCCTGTAAATTAATTGTTAAATTGTTGCTGTGTTGTATATTATACATATACGTGTTGTTTTTCATACAGTCTGCATCCTCAATTAGTTATTAAAATGCTTCCTAATAAAGTTTTCTTTGTATCTGTGGTGTGCTATTTTTTTGCTTTAGTTTTCAAAGATATTGATGCAACAGATGTTAAACAAACATCTTTATTAATTTCATATGAATTTAATTTTAATTATGATTATACAGTGTGTTTCATATTGATTGGCGACAATTCGGTATTTATTTAAAAATAGACCGATTACAAAAATAATAATTTTAGTTGTCATATGTCATTTCCATGGCTCTCTATGATTTATAGATGGTCTCCAAAAATGTCAAAAGTTAATAGGCATTTTTTTAAATTTAAAAACGGATAGCGTTTCTGAATTTGGAATACCTAAAAACCCCTAAAACAATAATTTTGTAATAACATTTTATGAAGGATGGTCAAAAAGTAAGGTCAGATTTGGAAAAAAAAATCATTTTTTTTTCAGAACTAGATATATTACAGCTCAGGTTTCAGATTTTTAACCGCAATTAATTATTTTTTACAATGTTTTAAAAGTCTAAAACCTATGACTGTTACTCTTTCTAAGTTAACCTATATGTTTTTAAATATCTGAGGTAGTTAAAGCATACTAAAAATATCAGTTCACTAAGTAAATTAAACACATCCAAAGCAATCGAATGAAATATAAAATATTATTAAAAATTTAAAGAAATAATTTTTATAACCATTTATGTACATAGGTGTTACAAAAATTGATTCTATCCTCCGTGAATCTGTTTTTGCTTTAAATTTTATGCAACGGAAGGCGCATTAATCATTTTAAATAAGCAAAAACCTCTGTTTACGAAATTATAGATGCATGTGATTCCTGAAGCTCAGTTAGAATTTATATGCAGATGAGAGTGTTGCTGTTTTATAATTCAAAAGTTTAAGTTCATTAATTTGCTATTTAAAAACCTATCCACCGTGAAGTGTATTATCTCAGTAAGTAGATTTTTTTATAAATATGTTATGTATGTACAATGGTATTTTTAAAAAATATTATGGTTTCAAAAGATACAATAACTTATTTCAAATATACAAAGGGATGTTTAAAAAAATATATACGAAATCATAACCTCCGTGAAGCAAACATTATAAAAAAATGGTATTTTAAATAGTAATAATAGTAATAGTAATAGTTAGAGCCAAAATATTAAAGATAGAGCTTTTTGAGTACCTAAAAACAAAACTTAAAAAAATCGAAATATTTTTAAATAAATACCGAATTGTGAAACACACTGTATATCTCTGTACTGAAGTTCCTTTATAATTATTTAAATGATTATTTGTCAGTGTACTTGAAACACTGATAAAGGCTTTTTTATGATTTGACGGTTTTTCTACGAGGTGTTTTCTGAAATTCCTTATTTGAACTTTTTATTTGAATAATGCAACTTTAATTTGAAATATCTCGAAAATGAATAAATGGAATTTGACTATTTTTCATGCCCTAAAATTTTAGGGGTTGTGACCACTTGAAACTAAGGTTGACTTGTCTTTGCCTATTTTTTTTAAATCACTGCTTACTACCTCTTTTTTGAATTCGTTGGGCCACCCTGTATACTATAATATAATGTGTATATACGAGGTGTGTTCAGAAAATAACGGGAATTGTTAAATTTCGCTGGTTCGGAGGGTCCGGTTGTCATAAAATTTTCTTTATTATGTAACATAATTTATGTTGGTATACATGCCTCCGAAGTATGATAAAAAGTTTAGCTGAGGTTAGACGTGTTTAATGAGCTCGGCCATTTTTCGTTCGTTAAAAGAAATGGATCAAAGAATTTGTATCCAATTTTGCTTAAAAAATTAAATAAATTCTGTGAAATGTTAACAAAGGCCTATAGTGAGTCTGCTATAAGTAAAACAAGAGTTTACAAGTGGTATAAGAGTTTCCAAGATGGCTGTGAAGACGTTGAAGATGACGAACGCCCCGAACGCACAAGCACATTAACAACCGATAAAAACATGGAAAAAGTGGAAGAAATGGTTATAAACCATCAGAGAA